CACTACAGGGGTGGCTCCTGTGAGAAGCTGCTAAAAGGTCCCCTGGCTCCAAGTCAGATCTGTCTCTAGCCAAGGCTGAGCCAATCAGTGATTGTGCTAGCACCTCTGCGATAATGTATTTAAGCGGGAAAAATCTGCTGGGCATGTCTTTATTTGGAGCGGAGGAGAGGAGGGGGACGTGAGAAAAACAACCATGTGGATACCCAGGTCAGTGAAGAAGGAGCGGGACAGCTATGCCCGAGCAGAGATTCCCTTGCAGCCAGTGGTGAGATGGCAGGCTGACCCCTTGCAGCCCATGGATATTAACGGTGGAGCAGATGCCCACCTGCAGCCTGCGGAGGACCCCAGGCCAGCACAGGGGATGGGGCCCAAAGCAGGCCGTGGCTCCGAGGCAGCCCGCACTAGATCAGCCCATTGCTGGGAGCGTGGCAGCCCACGGAAGGGACCCATGCTGGGGCGGTTCGTGGGAAGCTGCAGCTCCATGGGAAGGACTTGAGTTTGAGAATTTCACAGAGGACTGTCTCCCATGGGAGGGAGACCATGTTGGAGCAGGGGAAGAGTGCGAAGAGTCCTCCCCCTGAGGAGGAAGGAGCGGCAGAGATAACGCATGATGAACTGACCGCAACCCCTATCGCCCTGCATCGCTGAGGGAGAGGAAGTAGAGAAATCAGGAGCAGAGCTGAGCCTGGGAAGAAGGGAGGGGTGGGGGAAAGGTTGTTTTTAGGGTTTGGGTTTTTGGGGGGGTTTTTTTGGGGTTTTTTTTTTGGGGGGGGTGTTTTTTGGGTTTTTTTTTTTTCAAGATCTGATTGTAATTCTCATTATCCTACTCTGATTTGATTGGCAAATTGGTGGTTTCCCCAAATCAAGTCTGTTTTTTGCCTGTGACTGTAATTGGTGAGTGAATCCTCCCTATCCTTCATCTGGACTCTCGAGCCCTTAGTTACATTTTCTCCTCCCCATCTCACCAGGGTAGGGGGCAGGTAGGAGTGAGGAAGCAGCTTCGTGGTTTAGCTGCTGGCAGGGTGGGCCTAAACCGCTATATGTAGACAGACACATTTTCACCAAAAGGTTGACAGTTTCCTCCACAGCGGGACTTGCACAAGTGCCAGTGCATGCTTACTGCCTCACCTCAGTAGTGAGGATTTCAGCAGCAACATTCACTGGGAGTTCTGGGACGTGGCCCCTCCCAAGGAACTGAGAAAGTGCTGTCATGCATTTCACAGTGCATATTTGATGCTCTGAAGAAGCCGGTAAGGGCAAGAAGCAGAAGAGAATGGGAAAGCAATCACTCTAATTAGGAAGCTGCGCAATTTCATCAGATCCACACAGGCAGAGATCAAGCAAACTTGAGCACGCTTAGGAACCATATCCAGTTGGTGTCTTCCAACTTCAGTACTTAAAAGCATACTTATCCCAGAGGCAACTCTAAGAAGCACAAATCTTCAGAAAGCGACACTGGAGATACTCAAAAGCCATCTGGAGATGGTCCTGGGCAACCTGCTCTAGGTAGCCCTGCTTGAGGTTGGACCAGATGATCCCCAGAGGTCCCTGCCAACCTCGGCCATTCTGTGTTTCTGTGACAGGTGAACTGATCATACTGGAAAAAATAACACACTTTGTTCTTAACACGAGCTGCTCAGTACAGAGGAATAACACTCAGCCAGCCTGCTGAAGTCCAGGGCTTTATTCAGGGACTCAAAAGCGAACTCTACAAAGGGAAAGAAAAAAACACTTCCAGGTATTTCAACTGGAGACTTTGCTACAGTTTCAAATGCCACAGGAGAGGAGCAGGCAGGACCAAGGGAGGTGGTGGACATTGGGGACAGCCTTCCCATGTCAGACATGTGGATGCGCCTTCCCCAGCTGCAGCTGCCAGGGAGAGCATGCTGGCAGAGCAGCCCCACTGGTCACCACAAGCAGCTCTGCCATCTCTCCCAGCAAAAAGGAGCTTCAGGAAAGTCAGCTGTGGGGGCACCACGCTGGACCAAAATGTGTGCCTCCCTCCCAGGAGTGTTGCTGAAGTCAGGGGCTGGCGGGTAAAACTCAGGACCTTTCCCAAAAACAAGAGAGGAGAGAGGCCACTAGCACAAGAGACAGCAAACTGCCTGATGGTGGCCTCTCGCTTGAGTATGGCCTGGCCTGACACCCGCTGGGGCAGAAAATATTCCAGAGAAGAAAAAGCTACTAGAGCTCAGAGAAGAGCCACAGGAACCACTGCTGTGAGCACTTGATTTTGATGACAAAAATTGCTGTTATGCTCTCAGAGGAAATCACCTCGAGAGGAAGCAGAGCACTTGCTGCAAAGGCCCTTTTTGTTTCAGCTCTGGGTCTCCTCTCGCTACCACTGAAGATCAATTACAGAAAAGGGCAGAGCAGCTGCCTGCCTTTTCGTTGGCACAGAAAGACATGTGGCTGTTTTCCCTTTCAATTTAATTAACCAAGCCAAGCCACTGTGCCCACTTTCCTGTGAACGCTGCTTGCTGACGCTGCGCTCTCTGCCCAGCCCAGGAGCTGCGGAGCACGCAGAAGGGCACAGCTACTGCAGCAACCCATGTGGGCCAGCAGGCAGGAGTGGCAGCTGGTGTGAGGCCCCCCATGGCTTGCTCCAGAGCTAGGGGAAGCCACCATGGGTGGCTGCACTGAGAGGCTGATGGGAGCATCCTGACTAGGACTGGGCAGCATCTGCCTGCCAGGGCACTAATTATGGGACCCCACCAAGAGTCAGATGCTGAACTACCTATGAAGTCAGAAATGGAAAAAAACCTGTCATCCTTCCCCTCCTGGTATGACCTTTCACACATGTCCCTCCCATCTGAAGTTACAGGCCAGATCCACAGTGGCATTCAAATTCCTAAAGCACCGACTGACATTGAATGGTAAATAAAGTTCTAAAGCAAAAGTCAGGAGCTCCAGTATCTCTGCAGGCTCCAACCACAAGAGTTGATATCTGAAAAAACAGCCTGGTGATTTTCACAACTTGCAGCTTCATCTCATCCCATTGTGGCTAGAGCCGGCTTCCTTCCCAGAATTCCTTCTCTACCTTCCCAAATATCCTTTGCTGGCTCATATTACATTTCTGAGAGAGACGGTACTATAGCCAGCAGCCACCTCCCACTGCACATTGCGCCCTCCCAGTTCCCACAATCTTTACAGCATCACAGTATCCAGTAACAGCTGCAATATGTTTGGAGCCAAACGTCATAATACCTTGCTGCTCCACTGCTACCGTCTCCTCTGTGTAGACACTCTACAGTTACACCTGTTAATCTTAATGCCATTTACACCACTAACGTACGCTCACAGATGCTGTCTGTTGTCAATCCTGGACTCAATACCACCCCACAGACCCCCTGTCCCTGACTGGCTGTAGCTCAAGGTGTAACACAGAGCACCCCAGCACCCAGCTCTGCAGGGGCGAGGAAAGAGCAGCAGTGGAGCAGGAGAAAGAGCACTATGGAAACAAGCCTGAACAGGGAAGGAAATGTATCAGCTTACGCTACAGCAAACCCATCAGTTAAAAAACATGGAAAATGCATAATTTCAGTTCATTGAGTTGTGATCCCGAAAATCCAAAGATTAGAGGAAGGAGCACTTAATGCATGAAAAAAGAGCAAGAACTCTCCTTTGCTAAAAAAACAGACACAAGGGGGGAAAAAAAAAAAACAAATGTATGTTCATGCTCACTTCTATCAGGCTCAGAGGTTTTTGGCTGGGACAACCCTTCAATTCCTCCAGCAGCCCCAGCCATGAGCAGGGCAAGCTGACGCAGTGCTGTTGCCAGAGGTGGTGGAGAGCAGGCGCACAGCAGGATGGCTGGGGGGCTGTATGCCCCCATTTGCCACATCTGTCTTCCATAAGAGGATGAGACTCCCTGCACGATGCTGACAGGCATGATGGCAGCACAGGCCCTGCCTGCAGAGGTGGCCATAAAAGGGAACCCTGGGCAGAGCCCTCAGCTGCTCAGCCCAGCCGTGACCAGGAGGAGACACCCCTAGCACCTTGCGGCTCAGTGCTGGCTCCCAGCCCAGCACAGCACCCTGGCGCTTTCTCAGCGCACCTTGAACGCACTGGGGGAAGCTGAGGGGAACACAGACATACCCCAGCACCAGCTTCGGGGGCCAGTCTCTCTCCACCACCCTCCAGCCCCGCAGAAGCCCACACCACAGGAGGCACCTCGTATCTGCAAGCATTGAACTGGGCATCTCAGGCAGGGACGACTACTTCCCAGAAACAAGGCTTAAAATCCTAGTGACAAGGCTGATCCCTATATGCTTAATCTGCAAATAGACATTGCCACTCTTCAACACCAAATTTGCCTCCAAGAGTACTGTCAGGAGCTGTGGGTGAGGAAGAGGAAGAAACAGGACAGGCAGCATCATTTTGTGCAGCCCTGGGAGGTGACGCTGCTGAGGACACCGCAGCCATCAGCAGTCCTGGTTGCCCCTGGTCATGTTTGATGGATTTAAAGCTGCAGGAAAGACTTCTGCTGAAGAAGCGCCCGTCGCGCTGCTTACCTGGCAGCACCACCTTTATACCCACGGCATTGGACCTGGCAGTGGCTGCCGGCTGCTCCAGCGGCAGGGTGTTTCTCCTCCAGACCTCCACCTCACACTGGTACGTCCCCTCGTCGGCAGCCACAGCATTATGGATGTGCAGTGTGAAGGAGGTGGCAGCCTTTGTCAGCTGGGCTTCCCCCTGAAAGTGTGACTCTGCTGCCCCCCAGGCCACAGTGCCGCTGGGAGACACCCGGACCAGCTCGTGGTAGTGGCCAGAGGGCGGGCTGGGCTGGAAGAGCCACCGCACGGACACCGGCACCTCCTCGAGGGTATAGTTGGCGCTCACTTGGCAGACAAGTTCAAAACTCTGCCCATATCCAATGGTGGCAATTCGGCTTCTCAGTGTGGCATGCAGACCAAGACCTGCTCAGGAGGAGAGAGCCCTTGGCACCGCGACAGAAACCCTGCCACATGCCATGTTACCACCACCCTTCCCACGCAGCACCATCCCCGTGGCTCCAGCCACCACAGCCCCATGGCAGCCAGCAGTCCTGCTGCTCCTCTGCCAGTGCCGCTCTCCCCAAGTTGCACTGCGCTCTTCCAGTCCCACACATGCCTTGGCCCTCCCCTACCTCACCCCCCACTTTCCCAATCCCCGGGCAATCCTGAGTACCCTTCTCTTCCAGGTTCCCCCCATGGAGGGAGCCAGGGATCCTCTGCTGATGCTTCTGCCCTGTTTGCTGCTTCTTTCCACCCTCCCCAAAAGCCTAACAATCCCTGTGGCCCAACTGGTGCTCTGAGGCACCCAGCCCAGCAATAAGAAAAAACCAACCTAAATTGCAGCCAAAGGCTGCCTGTTGGTAAAGCCTCTCCATAAGCAATCAAAATTGCCTCTCCAGCAATCAAAAGAAGAAACAGAGTGGACATCATACACCAGGGAGTTTAGCAGCTCTGTGCTCAGACAGGAGGGCAGGAGAAGGGGTCAGATGCCAGCAACAGGGGTGTTTCTCTGACAAAGGCCACCATACAACTCAGCAAGTGTCTTTGTTGAGCTTAATTACTGTAAGTAATTATGCTGCTAGAACACGTTTTGTATTTCAAGTTAAGGAGACAGTCAGAAAGACCTGCCAAGTAAGCCTATCGGGTCTCCAGGCATTTAGCTGTTGTGTCCCACTTGTTTCTCCAAAACATCTCATGGAGGACTCAAGCACCCTGCTAGAAATGGGGAAACGGAAGCACTCCAGGGCCAAGTGACCAGCCCCAGGTCACCCTGCAGCAGCACAGCTCAGCGCACAGCAGATCTCTGCTTCTGCAGCCTTGTCTCCAGCATGTCCAGCTTGAAAGCCTAGAAATAGCCCAACTCACCCATGGAGCTGACTGTCACTGCTGTCTCCCCCTCCTTTTTCCAGCTCTGGCCTCGGGACCACTCCGTCGCTTCGCACCTGTACCGCCCACCATCGCCCTCATCCAACGTGTTGGGGATCACCAGGGTGAAAGTGCCGCAGCTCACTTTCTCCAGCCGGAGGCTCCCCCAAGTCCTGCTGTCCTGGTAGGTGCTGCCCAGGCTCAGGGTGCCGTCCTGCTCCATGGTGGCCACCAGCACCCAGGGACCCGGGTGCTGTGGTGGCAGGTACCACCACCGCACGGACACTGGGTTGGTTGCTCCTTGCACCTCGCAAAGGATGATCAAGGCATCTCCAGCCATGACCTGAGGCATGCTGCTGGACATGGATGGGCGCATGTGGCTCTCTGCAAACAACAGTTACTGTGTGGGAGGAGATATTGCTCTCCTCAGAGAAAGACAGAGGTACTGTGGCATTAAGTGGAGAGACTAGATAAATCTTGGTGTTGGAAAAGGAAAGGAATTGCCTCAAGTTTTCAACTAGCCTTTTCTTATAACTTTGGAGAAGGCTTTGTAGGTTTCTTTTTTTTTTTTTTTTCCTTCTTTAATGTCTTTCCTGCGACAAGGATACATAAAGAAATACTTAAGAAATAGTTCCAATAGACAACTCCTGCTACATCAGAATAGTCATTGTCTAGCTATGACAAGGAAACCAAGAGGCTTCTACACATATTTTTTAGAGTGGTTTCTCACAAATCATCCCTCCAAAACAGGAAGGGCACCCTGATGGAAATGGCAATGATCCCTCCTATCCAGAAGTACCTGTTCTGCTAGATCATACTGTGATCCTCAGGAGTAGAGACAGGTGTTGCTCACAGTTTTCTGTACCAGACACGGGAGGACCCAGCCTCCCTAGATCTAAACTTATTTGCCCCAAAACTTATTGCAAAGAGATTGAGCTAAAGGAGAACACTTGTTGACAGTTGCTGCATCTGTCATGCTAATGTTCACAAGAGTAAGTGCTTTTCCCATTATCTACCAAAATCTATGGCACATTTGCGCTCTTGCTGCAAACAGCAGGTGTGTTGCCCCTGCCAAGATAAGACCAGACTTGAAGCGTCTCCCAGTCAGGGATCACTGCAGGCTTTACCCAGAAGAGCAGCCATTAGTACTTACTAACCTATTGGCTTCACATCAACTTGGATGCCTGATGACAGATTGGTTTGGATGTTATGAAAGTCTCCAGGAGTCTTCACCTCTGAAACAGAGCAGTGGTACGTACCATTGTCCTTCAGCCCCACCTCATAGACGATAAGGACATAAATCGCGTTGCTTTGCTTGAATGCTTGGAGCTGCCCCAGCTTGGCTCTCTCCTCGTATTCTTCCTGCCAAATCAATACCCCATGGGGGTCAACCCTGGCCACTTCCATGCCATTGAGGAGCCAAAGCACTTGGAAGTACCTGCTGCTGCTCTTCTGAGATCCCACCATGCAACTTAGCTGCAAGGTATCACCTTCAGAAAGGGAGCTTTCAGCAGCAGCGATGTCCACGAAGAGGCCTCTGCCTGTGGGCAATCAAAAGCAAAGAGAGTGCTTGGTGGCCCTGCCTACACTTCCCTCCCACCTGGCAGCACCAACAGCCATGCAGAGGGAAACAGGAGGAAATTCTCTATTGAAACATTTTCTTTCATTAGAAAAGTGATTAAGATGGAAAAATTCACCTGTGGGGAGATGGTTGCCAGCCCCAGGCACTAACCAGCAGCCGCAGGTGGACTGAGCTCCCCATTTCAGAGCAGCTAACCCCCCCCAGGGCAGAGCACCCACTGGGAGGGTCTTGAGCTACAGCCACCCCTCAAGTCAGCTCAGGCATCCAAACTGAGGGCTCCCCTAACCCAGAGGCATCAGCTTTTATGGGGGGCTGCTCCATTTCACCTCCTGGAGCTGTTCTGCTTCATGTAACAAATATCCCTTAAACCACAAAGGGGCACAAAGGGGCTTTATCATTCTGGTGTTTTTAACTCTGCTGTCTGTGGTGGGAGAAGGTGTGTGGAGGGCTGGCATTCAGTTTGTATGTCTGAATCTGATGCTGCTGGTCCTGTATGCTGCAGCCCTCACTAGCCACTGCAGGATGCGGGCAAGAGACGCTCTCGAAGCTGGAGAGGTTTTGGGTTAGTTCCTACAGAAAGCAGAAATGTCAAGACTTGTCACAGCACAAGGAGGTTAGAGGGGAAGCAAGAGAAGGCGGAAGTCATCTCCTAGTCCCTGTCCTGCCCCCGACACTGACTAGCAGCAGGTGCCAAGCAAAGAGGGTAGGGACAGGTGGAGCACAAAGACATCTTCCCCTTTGCAGAGACCCTCTTGGGCAATGGGCCGCATCTGAAGTAAGGACCTTGTCTCCAGGTCCTATGATACGATTCCCCTTCCTCACATGGCATTCAAAGCCTCTGCCGTTAATGCCCCCTTGTTCCTGGCATCGGCCTGGCTGGAGAGTGGCTGCAGGCAGAGACCCACACCTGCACGGTGACCCCACAGAGCAGTGGCACAGCCAAAAAGACAGGAGGGTAGGGCTGAGCCCCAACTCCCTGGGCATGCAGCCTGGCTCACACCACTCCATCTCCTTGGGTCACCATGCTGCCCCCTGTGTCTAACAGCAAGGGCAAGGCTATGTGCTGTAGTTTGGAGGTAAAAGAGAGCAGCTACTAGACTGCCACTGTAAGGGCTTGAATCATTTATTGAAAGCAGAGTATCCTGTTAATTTAAACACTGGTTCATAAACAGTTTGTGAACAGGAATCCCAGCCCCTGCAGATGTTCAGCATTCCCAAGTATTTGCTGTAGAGTTTATAGAAACCGCTAAAGTAGTTGGCCACAGTCAGAGCAGTTGCTGGCTCCCCGTGTGATGGTGTGCTCAGCTTTGCAGCCTGGGATCTCCCATGGGGTGATGGAGGGAGACCCCAGCACTGCAGGTGAGATGTGCTGGAGGGCTCATATGCCTGCCACCATTCCCCCGCTGGCAATTCCACCAGCTCTAACACAACCACCATATTGTCCTCTTACAACCATCATTACCCTTCTACCCTTAATGGCCACCACAGTGCAAATATTAAACTCTCACAAGGCTTCTCCGTTTCTAAAGAAATGAAAAAGGGTGCTTGGTTCTTACCCATATGTTTCTTTGGTGACCTGCTGACTCACCACCCTCCCACGAGACAGCAGCTCCCCTCACTACCCTGACTCTGCAGCCTCCTCCATCCACTCTGAGTCATGTAGACATGGTACACCACTTCTCCAGGCATCTTTTCTGTGAGACATTTGCTTCCATTTTCTTGCATACTACTGCCTATGTTAAAGGGCATCAACTAGACACAGCCTTGCCTTGGCTTCTTGGAGGTGAAACTTACTGGTGGGAAAGAGAGATTTTCCCTTCCTCTGGGCACAGCTACCCACAGGCAGCTGGAGGAAGAACAGAGTGAGGGACCACAGCCAGGAATGGGCTTGCAACAGGAGGGACAGCAGGCAGGGCACTCAGAGGAGTAGCAGCAAACACGGCAGGGCAGAAGGGAGAGAGGGATTTTCTCACTGGCCCTGGGCAAGGCAATGCAGAGCTTGCAGATGCCAGGAGCCATGGGAAGCTGCTGGGCAGAAGGAACAGGAGGTGCCTGGCAGAGACAGAGTGGAGTGGAGGAGGATGGGCAGCACTGGCAGGGGCTGTTTTTCAAACTTTCCTGTTTTAATCCATCTCATATGGGGTAGCAGGTCTGTCACCTCTTTCTAAATTCCTAATACTACATTTTCCTAGAGCATAAGCCAGGAGTTTGGTGCACCCACTTCAAAGCACAGTCTGACCCACATTCTCGTTACCACCATATATGAACTACTTGAAGGAGACACAGGGATGGCCTAAAGAACAGCAACACCAGTTGCTCTGGAGGCCAGCAGACTCATGACAGCACAGTCAGACAAGCCACCTCCAGCAGCCACCAGAGCTGTGCAGCACACGCAGTGCATCCCCATGTCCCTTAGTGCCTGTGGCCAAGGCACCGTGACAGGCAGCTGACTGTTGCGTACTTCTTCAGTTTTTGAGGCCACGAGACCCTCGAGGCAGTCTAACAACACGTTTTCTGCACACTGGAGCTTAACGCTGCCAAGGAGCCCGCCTGCTGTAGGCACACGCTGTTCTCTCTGCTAACACCTCGCGTGGCCCCACAAGGTTGCATGATTGCTGCCGGCATCAGAGATTCAGCTGCCTGAACCTCCAAAGTGAAAAAGCACCAACAGCTCCCAAACCAGGGGCTGCCATGGCCCTACGCCCAGCCTGCCCCCCTCAGTGCCAGCAGAGGTGGCCAGACCCACCAGCGGGTCCCTGGCTGTGGCGGAGGCAGGCGAAGGCCACTAAAGGCTGCTGCTATAGAACCTTGAATGAGCAAAGGAGTTGGAGGCAATGTGTGAGTTTGCAACGGACTTACCCCAGCTCAAGACCGACAACGACATCCTCCCTGTTTGCTTGTGGGAGATGTCCTTCCATGTCTTATCAGGATCCTCAATCCACTCGGCCGCCTTGCAGTACAGCTGCCCCCAGTCAGACAGCTCTGCTCCCCTGATACACAGCTTGTACGTGGTGTTCCCGATCTTGTTCAGCTGCACAACCCCTGCCAGAAACCTCTGTGTGTAAGAGGACCCTGGCCTCAAGACGAAGTCCTTGGAGAGGGTGAGGACCTCCTTGCCATGGTGCTCTCCTGGTCCCTGAAGATGATACCAGCCAACAGAGAGATGTGTGTGCTGGATTGTGGACTTGGACACCTCGCAGGTGAGCTCCACCATGTCTCCTTCTGTGCAGGTGAGGACCTGGGGTGCCATGGAAGCCGAGAGGGTGTCTGCAATCACTGAGCACAGGGCAGAAACAGAGAGCAGCTGGTCATGGGAAAAATAGTCTCTTGGTCTCAATGGGCAACCTGCTGGCCACTATGAAACCACAGCCAGACCCTAAGGGATCTGACAGCATAGGAGAAATATCTTTTGTAGCTGATTGACAAGGCTTTCATCAGCCTGTACCAAGGTGTGAGGTGGTTAAAACCTCAGTAGGGAAGAAAGCACCGTGAATGTCTCTGTAGTGCCCCATTCAGCCAAACTATGGGCAGTATTAATTAGATTAACATCCAGCCTCTCACAATCCCAAGCGCAGGCTGGTACAACAGCAGGATAAAGGAGGAAATGGGCAAATACCAAGTGGAAGCACCATAACACCATGTAGACTTGGTGGGTTCACAGTAGGGCCTTTCCCTTTGCCTTGTCACCCCATCGCCTTCCCTCTCTCAGGGCTCTGCAGGAGCTGCTACCTCCCTCTGTCTGTGCGTATCCCTCTTGGGACAAGTCCCACACCCTGACCTGAAAGTACACCAACAGCTAACGTACAGAGCCTGAGAACTTCTGCCCTCCTAAGCACTTGGCTGTGAAATGCTGTGGCTGCATCAGGAGCTGAAGTTAAAACTCAGGCCATGGGACAGCAGAGGCTTTGTCTCCCTTCTCTTGCCCTGTCTGGGAGGCAACGGTCAGAGCAACCTGCAAGGGGACATCTGGGCATCCCTACCTTGGCCACCCAGGGGTAGGACAACAACCCCACAGTGGGGAGAGAAGGAAAATTTCTGCCCACTAGTCCTATTAATCACCCCTTTCCCCAGCTGCCCCTCTGTCAGAGACCCAGAGACAAGCACTTCTCCCCAGTGTAAAGGTGGGGGCAGTGGAAACCTGCCTGCACCCCTGCCGAGCAGGGCTCTCTTTCAGGACTCACCTGAAAGGTTTGTCTTGGTGCTGTAACTCCCAAAGTACCTCTCGTCGGTGTTGGGCGTGTGGCACTCGTACTCCCCAGCATCCCGGTCCTGCAGCTCGGTGATGTGCAGCAGGACGGCGTCCCCCTGCACCCGCTCCATGTAGATCCCCCGGCTGCGCACGCGCTGGGCGTAGATGGCGTAGGGGAAGGAGGGGTCGACGGTGCTGATGATCTGCACCTCCCGCTCGGGGGCAGAGGGCAGGTAGATGGACCACTGAAAGAAAGTTCTGCTCCGCTGGGCCCTGGTAGCCGCTCACCTTGCACCACAGCGTGATGTGGGACCCCGTCACACGGTAGAGGGGTCCCTCCTGAACAGTCACCACCCGTTGACTAGTGCTCAAACCTGCCAGCAAACAGTTGACACACACAGTGTTTGCAGGGGTATATGCTGAGGGCGGCACACCCAAACCGGCAGTGGGTCTGGGCGTGCAAGGGACCACAACATAATGTTGAAAAGAACTGCTGTGCAGTCTCATCCTGTGAAGCACGAAGTCCAAGCCCATTGCTATTGTAAGAACAAGTCCTGTAACAACAGGCCTCCAAACTTTGTCTCCTAGCACACTGCGGGGTCACACGACAGAGACAACAGCATCATGGCCAGAGAGCATCTCTCAAACAGCTGTTCAGAGGGAGCAGCAACCAGGCTGAGATCACTGGAGGAAGCTTGTGGTGTGTTCAAGTTAAGGGGGCCAAGCACAGAGGTCCTGAGCAGGCCTAGGGGGGTGCGGGGAGCAGGTGACAGAGCTGACCACTGTCAGAGGAGATGCAACACAGAAGCCAAGGGACATGGGACAGCGGGCTGCGGGCTGCGTGCTGCAGAGGTGCTCCACAGACAGAAACCAGGGAGGGCATGCAGGAGAAGGGTCCAGCAAGAACTCCTCCACAGGCAGAGGGAACCAGGAATCATCAAGGGCTTCCTCCATTTCTGCCTGCAGAGGGTTTGGGAGGCAGTGACCACCCCTGCACCCTCCCCTCCCACAGAGCTCCCAGTGGTGACACTTGAGACACTGAGAAAAACACCCAGAGGACATCGGCACTGAGTCAAAAACCAGTCATGGAGACTAAGCCAGGGAAGAGAGCTGATGGCAGCACAGCCTAAGAAAGCCTCAGAAACCCCCTCCCCAGGGGAAGAGGGGGTGAGGTAACCCCCTCCACAGCCCCAGCAGCCACACAACAGGGACATGCACATCCCCGCACTGAAACCATGCCAGGGTCCAGGTTATCACTTTGGAGCAAAACCACAGTGCCAAAAGGAGAACATGCCATGCAGCTCTTCCCACGGCCACTGAGCCAGAGCACCACTGGCCATGGTGGGGCTGTCCTGGCCCTGCAGCCCCAGCAAGGGGGCCTCACCTGCAAAGGTCCCACCTGCATCGAGGGGTTCTTTACTTCCCCCTCACCTGCCCCAGGAAAGCCCACATCACCAGGCAGGGCACTCACCCAGGAGGAGGAGGAGGAGGAGGAAGACAGTCGTCAGGCACCGCACCAGTCCCATGGAAAACAACTCTGCTTGGGTCCTCTCCCAGGGGGGTGGTGGAAGGATCTCATGGGCGATGGTGACAGCCACCCTACTATTTTGAAAGCAGCTGGGAGGAAGCTGCTGGCGGTAGTGGTTTCCTCTGCTTAGAAATGGCAAGGAGAGGTTGGGGAGCAGGGTGCAAAGTAACACACCTCTGAGAGGTGACAGCCGGCACCCCAGCCCCACACTGCCTGGGCAAGGCTGATGCCCAAGGCCCCTCCTGCCACTGTGTGCGTGCTGGGTGCTCGGTGCTACCGGCTGTGGCTTTGCTGTCGGCAGCAGCTCACAGGCTAATGCTCTGCCTCATGAATCCCACTTTTTTGCATGGAGTAGCTTGCTCCCTGGTAACACAGGGGGTGAGGGGCTGAACCCCAGGGAGGGATGGAGGCATATTTCCAGGGCTGAAGCTTCCCCCAGATGTTTATTTTCTGTAGCTACAGACAACAGCATGATGCCTCAGGTACAGGTTGGGGTGGCACAGTGCTCCCCAAGGATGGCTGACCAAGGCCTGCCTTGGGGAGCAGTGGGGCACCCGAAGAGGTGTGCCTCTCCCACAGCACCCCCACAAGCCCATCGGCTATATGGGCAGGAGATACTCTATCATAACAGCCAGCCCAGCCCAGGAGGCTTAGCAGCTCTCAAAGGATCACCATGCAGCCAGAAATCAGCCAGGAACGCTCTCCTGCAAGTGCATCCCATGGGCAGGCACCCAGATGCGGGTGATCCTGGACCAGCACTGCTCACAGGGGCGGTGAGACCATGAGGAGCTGCACTGGGAGGGCTGAGGCCAAGTGGCTGCTGGCCACAGCCCCGGAGGCAAGCACTGCAGTGGCATCGGCTGCTGTGTGGCAGTGGCATGGTGTTGTCAGCACTGCGTGCTCTGGGGCGTGCTGCTGCTCCTGCCGGCAGGTGCTAGGGACATGGTGGGAGGCTGACAGGGGCATATCCTGGGCAGGGGAAGCCCAGCCTCTTGAGCATGCAGCCAAACACTAGCGAGGCTCAAACCAGAGACACTCTCTGAAAGGATTTGTTTGGGGCTTTTGAGGGGGGCCTGTTTTGGTTGGGGTTTTTCTTTGTTTGTTTTTCCCAGAAAGGATGGTGGCACAAAGCATTTACCCCTGAGCCATGCTGCTCCTGCTGTGCTGCTGGGGCATCAACTGAATGACTAAATTAGCTCAGGGATTCACAAGCAAAAACCAACCATAAAACAAGTCCTCTTGCTTGATCCCACAGGACTCCTAGAGGGAACAAGATTCATGTAACGAACCAAAACAAACATGAGATCCTTCCTTTCCCCATTTAATAAACTGATTCATATGACATCCTGAGGGGCCAGGAGATAGCAGCAGAGGCTTCTCACTGCAAGGCTCATGCCTCCGTTAGCCAGTTCCCATAGCACCATGCAGCTCTCCAGAAAGCCAAATCCAGTCTGGGGGGACAGGCTGTTGCAACAGGCAGAAAGGTCCCTGCAGGATCTCACCTGTCCCCTGCCACCCACTCTCATTGCAATGAAATGGAGCAGAGGAGCAGCACCTGCTTTGGGTGAAGAAGGTGCAATGCAAGGCTTGAAACTGATGTGCTGGCTCCTCAGATGAAGTGAGCAGATACAGCAGAGGCTGGCAAGCCGTGGAGTGCCCCAGCACATCTGTTAGTGAGGAGGGCCTGTGTCCTGTGGCCATGCACATAGCCATAATGAGGCAGGCTCCCATTACTGCCCATTCCCTGCTGCCCAATAAAACCTTCCCATCTCAGAAGGAAAGGGATGAAGTGGTTTGCTTTCCAAAAGCAACTCACTGCCAGCAGTGCACGGGGGATGATCCTGCTGACAGTAAGCCAACCTGCTTACCACTTTGGAGGAAGGAAAAGCATCTCTGCTGCAGCAACAGAGTAAATGGAAAGGAAATTTGGAGTTCAACCTCAGTGAGCTTCCGACAGTCAGTGTTCAGATAAACACACACGAGGACAGTTTAACTCCAAGCTTGCAACTCTAATGATGCATGAGTCGCTGTTTACATTTGCAACAGAGAAACCGGGGAGAATAGGATTGCCTGGCCCAGCCCTGTCACTGGCAATGACTATGCTCTGTGGACAAAACCAACAGCTCCCTCTTCCCAGGATTGCGCAGCCTAAAACTTCCTCTCCCTCCCTGGAAAATCAGTGCAACCAGACATACAGCAGGGCTATTAGCCACGCAAGGTAGGGTAAAGGAGGAGGATCAGATAATCTGTTACAAAGACAACATTGCCATTAGAAACCACACCAGGGAGGCTAGATCCATGGGGAGAAAGATCCCCTTACCTGTTTTCCTGGGGATGACACCAGACGGGAAAGCGAAGGGGAAATATGAGTCTTGAATAGCACAGTGGGTCCTGCCCGTACCTACAACGAGCAGAGGACTTTCCTCCTCCAAGCTAGGCAGTGTACGTTCCCACGCAGCTCATTCAGTTGAGCTGAAGTGCTGCACCAGGGCCATGGAGATTAAACGCTATTGACCTCTAGCCTTTGGCACAGCCTGGCTATCACCAGCACCTGAGCAGGAGGGACATCTCTCAGCACAGCCCAGCAGGGTACCACCATCTCCCACTCCAGAGCACAAGGCTGGAGGTCACGTTGCCCACAGCACCGACTTTGGCTTTCACACAGCTGATGACCATCTTTAATTGCATGCCTCCATATCCCTTCTTCCCCCTGCCTCCCTGGATCCCTTTGCAGGCACTCTTTTTGGATGCTGCTCAGCCACTTTGGGCCAAAGCTTTCCAGCAAAACACCACCAAAAATGCAGGATGGAAAGTTTCACCAAGCCCAGTGCAGCCAGGGCGAAGTTAGACTCTACCTAAAAGAGCACAGCAATCTGCAACATCCACAGTGACTTGGAAACCTCCCTGACAGACAAGGGCTCACCAGACACTCACCTCACACACTGCAAGGAGCATGGGGAGGCATGGGGATAAGGCAGGATCACTACCACAGCAGGGTAGAAATGCTACAGAGAAAGCTGTTGAGGGTGAAGGAGACAATCCCATGGTCAGTGTTAGTTTTTAGAGGGAACAGACTGCTAAGACCCAAAAGCAACTAGGCAAGCATAGGGGAGAGGTTGAAGCCCAGATCCCCTGTCTGGCTATACAGCCCCCCATGAGCTCCCTCACCCTATTTGGCTGCCTGGGGTTAGGGCAGCTGTGGTTTCCTCTGCCTGCAGCCATCACATTTGTTGCTGGCTTCCACCCATCCCAGCAGAGGGCACAGCCTACCCCACTTTATGAAAAGTAGCAATGAACCCCACCTTCCAAAGGAAACCAGACCTCAAACCATGTCTTGAGCAAACCCGGCTTTGCACAGGAAGGGTTTTCAGCCACTGCCAAGGTTGCTTGCTGTGGGAGAAAAAAGAAAAAACCCTAACTCTTAAAAGGGAGTGTTCCCCCATGAGCTTTTGGCATCGCTATGCAGCATCCCAGCTGAAAGCAAACTGCTCTGTGAGGAGCACGAGCTCTGTGGCCTCTTCTCAGTCCTGTGGCTCTACCATCTCCTCACGCCCATCCAAGCCACCCCTCAGCAGTTACCTGCCCTCTGCATCTCTGCTCACACAGACGAGCACCCTGGGGCTCCCTGAGCACCAAACCACATGTGACAAAGCAGCTAGAGACTAATTCAAGGCAGCAAGGTCCCAGCAGAGAGGCTGAAGGGGGCAAAGACAAAACAGCCTTCTCCTCCCAGCCCCTTCTCACCCCTTCAGCTTGCGCAACCTGCCCTGGAGCAGCAGGGATGGGAGCCCTGTTCTCCAAATGCTTTTTGGAGGGGAAGGGCGCGCGGTGCCTGCTTGGCTGTAAACACTTTCGTGCCTTGCAAAGGGCAGCCACAGAGAGCTCCCTGCATTTCGGGCTGCTCTTGAGACTGAATGGGGAGGGGGAATACAGCCCGAGGTGCAGGCTATGGACAAGCTCTCTAAAAATGCCTCCTCTGCCTTTGCTTCACAGATCTCACAAGGCATGTTCCCTGCCCAGAAATGCCATTTCCACATACCTACAGTGACTGGGGAGGGACAGAAGAACAGGGAGGGAGGGAGGTTGTTGCCTTGAAAGCGAGGGGCTGGCGGGACGCAGTGTGGGAGGATGCGGGGAAGAGTGCAGCGTTAGCTGGGATAATCTGGCAGTCTTGGGGGATGTGCCAGAAGCCTACAGATAATCAGGGGAGCTGGCACAACAGACTTTGAAGTCTCCCATCAGGTTTTCTCAGCCCAGCTCAGACATCAAAGGCAGCTGGTTATTTCCCCCAGTTACAGAGCAGGAGCCGGCTGGCTGCCTAGCTTCCCCAAGGCCGGCCAGCTCAGCCGTGATCCTCCAGGCACGCTCTTGTGGGCAGAAACCTCCTGACGGAGCACAAATGCCCAAATCCTCCAGCTCCTGCCAGAGCCAGGCTTGCTTTACTGGGAGCTCACCTCACAACTACATGAGCTTTCATCTTGGGCTGTTGGAACTGAGCGAGATCTTGGTTGATACAGATCTCCCCACTGACATACTGCCAAACCAAACCACCTGCCAGTCCCAGGGAAACCAGATAGCCACGAAAACAGGGGGAAGTCTAGCAAAGGTGAAGAAAATAGCGACCTATTCTCATGGCAGTGGAAAGGACTTCCGTTACTCAAATCCCGTGCGTCCTGGGCCCTCGTGGGACATGGCTCTGATGCACGGCAAGGACAGGGTCTTCTTGAGCACAGCAGCACAGAAAGGCTGTTGCGATTGTTTTGTGCTGCAATACACAATATCATTTGTACAGCAACTGAAACAAATCATTAAAAAACTCAAGCAATTGAAATCTAAGAGCAGAACAGGCTGGGAAGCAGAGAAACACTTGTCCTGTGCAACTGCAGCTTTCTAGGACTCACTGCTCTCAGTAGCAAGCGGCCAGGGCTGGCCTAGGAAGAGAATGCCCACAGCTCTTTTTTGGTGAACTGGTGTTTTCTCATGTTTGCACCATCGTTT